CTTGGTTCACCTGCTGGTTATGTTTCTGCCAGAATTTACAAAAGTGAGTGCCATCGATAACAAGCATTTGGCAGTATTTTCAAGGGAGAACGTTACATTACATGGAAAACATTTTCGTTTTTATGTGTTTTTCTCAGCAAAGTAGATTCTGTTCTTTTGTGAAAGGTGTTTGCTTGTTCTCAATTTTTTTTAGCTATAATTATATAAAGAAATTTCTTTGGTCAGTATACAGTGAAACTGTTATGTAGCCTTTCTATGCGTACCCAATCATCCATCAGTGTCCCTGGTCTTCTGGGTGGCATTTTCCATTGAGCATAATTCTGATGGTGCTTTGTACCCATTTTTTTTCCTGTTTAGTGGTTGGCGGAGACTTGTGGAAGACCAATACCTTGTTATCGGCCTTCCTTTTTCCTGGGTGAGTATTCAGTGATGCAAACATGTACACTGTAGTATACAGCTGGAAATAATGAAGTTAGGTGAAGCAGCTGAATACCTCTTGTAAGGGGTATTCATGCAAAGATCTTTTAAGGAGGATTTAAAATCCTTAGCTTACAATGTATACCGCCAAAAATACTCAGTTTTTCTTAGCTACTTAAAGTAAGTCTAATGCCATATTGTGTGAAATTTTGTGTCACAGTAGATATGCATCTAAAAAGAATGGATTATTATCATTGTCATCATTATTATCGTCATCATCATCATTATAATTTCTATGATCTTTGTCATCATCTGTATCATTATCTTTGTGGTCTTCATGACTGTTAGTGTAATTGTCATTTTCAATATTGTTGCTATAACCATCACCCTTGTCAAATGTAATAACTTTTTTCTTTAATTCCAGATTGATGTTTGGAATTTTCTTCCTTTTGAATTGTGTTCTGTGGTCAGAGGGTTCATCAGCAGCTGTTCCGTTTATCATTTTATTCACCCTGTTGGCCATGTTGTAAGTCTAAACCTGAATCATTAGCAGCCCGTGACTCAGCACATTTTATGAAACATGCGTGGAATGTTAATTTTCCTTTTTCCTTTCTTGCTTGATAGGTTTGGCATTTCAGCTCCACTTACATTCCTGGGGGCTTACCTCGGATTCAAGAAAAAGGTAATTACTGTACATGTATAAACCGCTGATAATTAAGGTACAAGTCTATCTAAAGTCAGCCTATTAACGAGAAAACCTATATGACCAACACATATCCTGGTTTCCATAGCATAAACCCTAGACACCCTCACATTGTTATTCATATTCTCCCAACTGTCCTCTATACATTTCTTAAGGTGCTGACAAGGAGAATTTTGTTCAACAATCAAAAGCTTCTTTACCTGGTGATCATTTGCTTTATTCTCATGACCTTCATGTTATGTTCAAGGCTGATGTTGTAAGGAGAAATTAGATGCTTGTCACTCTTTGGAGTTAAATGGTAGAGCAATTAGGAGTATTGTTTCAGGTTCCTTCGATAGAGTATTAGTACCCATTTATGCACTTAAGTGGAGAGAAACACTCTGAGAGTAAAGTTTCTTGCCCATAAAGGCATTTAAAAGACCCTGCCTTGGCTCGATCCCAGACCTGATGACATCAAGAACTGTTCTAACTTTGCTACTTTTAAGAGACAGCTTGTATGGAAAATAAGAATATTCTAAAATCTATTAGTTTTCCTAAAGCTTCCTGCAGTATTTCCAACAAATCCTTAGATTGAAATATTTTTTAATATTGAAAGGTCAGTCCTTTGGACCTTTCACACCTTTCCACATATACTTGAGTTTACCAATATGTCACTGGTGTTGTCCGTAAGCGTCAAAGTTTCACATTGTAATGTAGAACGGGGCTGATCAGGTGTTCAATTTTTGCCTCTAGCCAATTGAACAATCTGTTCGAACCAATTAGATCCCCTGTCTGATTCTAGACTAGGTCAGTACAATTATGGACTCTGAAGAATGTTTATTTTTTATCTCCAGCCAATTGAGCAACCAGTTCGAACCAATCAAATTCCTCGTCAGATTCCATACCAGGTAAGTACAATTATGGACTCTGAAGAATACAGTGTACCTCAAGTTAGAGGTTTACAATCCAGGTGGTTCCATACCTCAGTTCTGATTCACACACTACCTTTGCCTTAACCATTTTATATTAGACAAGGATTCATTTAGAACTTGAATTAAGATAACGAGTGAATGTTTATTTTAGCGAAGCTTTCAACTGAGTGTCGAAAGTAATTCGGGATTTTGCTGTACCTCGCCCCGAGACTGGTTCAAAAAACTCGCGCCACTCTATCAACCAATCAAATCCAGAACTAAAAGGAATCACAACTTGGTAACCCGTGCTTTCCCGCGCTTTAGGCTTGAGTTTTTATTGGCTCTTCTTACTTCTGCTTGTTAACCCGCGTTTTCCCGCGCTTTAGACTTGAGTTTTTATTGGCTCTTATTACTTCATTCCTTCTGATTGGCCGTTGCGATTACGGTGGTTTTGCCGTTACGTCACTCAATCGGAAAGCTCTTTAGTGCTCTACGTGGAATAGATTTGTATCAAAATCATCAAGATGTTGTCTCAAAATAAATATTGTTATCTTGCAGAGAATTTACACTAGAGCAGCGCTAGGAATCATAATGGGAGGTGTTCTTCCGTTTGGGTGTATTTATATCCAGTTGTTTTTTATCTTAAACAGTATTTGGTAAGTCTCTTTAATGTATGAATGATGGAGATTTTACTTAAATCCATTTTAAATCGTTCGATTTTTCTCCTTTTTTTTTGTTTGCGTGTAACTTGTTACTGGGCTTTAACGTTTTTTAAACTCGTAAACCAGACTACCTTGCTGACAAGCAATTAATATATTTATAGGGGTATCAGGCGATTTTGTATGATGCAAATCGGACTTGAATCCAAATCTCTTTCTCTAAATTCTGCCATACGTATATTTTGTCTTGCAAGTTATTTTCTTCCCTATTGTAAGGAAAGGTCTTAATCATTTCATTTGAACACGTAATAATAAAGACAGCCTCCTTAAATTCCACTTTTATTGTATAAACTTCTTGAAAAACTTCACTGATCTATTTTATTTGGATTTTCGGGTTACCCAATAAAACAGCAGCTCGATGCTTCATTTTATGTTTGAACTGTATGAGTGATTTTTGCTTTTTTCTGCATCAACCAGGTCGCATCAGATTTACTACATGTTTGGTTTCTTGTTTGTGGTTTGTTTAATTCTACTGTTGATCGTGTCAGAGACCACCATACTGTTGTGTTATTTCCATCTTCGTGCTGAGGTGAGGAAATTCATGAGGTTAAATTCCAACCAAAACTAGTCTTTCTATGGCTGTTTTCTTCATAGTTAAGGGAGGGAGCGCGAAGCGATCGCGCGTGAACGAGCGCGAAATTATCCCACCCTTAAGGGTTCACGTAGGTAACTCCCCAGCGGCTTCTCTTGCACCCAAGCGTTGGACGATGATCGAAGGGAAATAGAGGTCTGTGAACAGACCACACCACAATTTGACTTTATGGTACGTTACATTATACACCTTAACAATTTGCTCTCGTACATTCTAGATACCCTTTTATTTCTATTTGTTATATTTTGACTTTAAACACGCTTTTTCGTTCATGGCAATTTTGAAGCTGAGAAAATTCCTGCTACGGTTGAAGGTGAAGCTGTGGCTTTCACTTCTAGATATAGCTTCTCTATGTATTAGGGTTACATTCGTGTTATGTATCCTTTGAAGCTAGAAGCGGTTCCCATGTACAGTAAAAAAAACTGGTTTTCCTTGGTGCAAGTGGAACGAAAATCCACGAAACTTCACCTCTCGCCAGTATGCGTTTGTAAATTGCTCTGTCTCGCGGGTGCCAATCCCAAACATTTACATCTCGCCGGTACGCGCATGCGGTGTGCTTCGTATCTTATGTTCAAAACGAAACTTCATCCATCGTCTGTAATGCTCGGAACTCAAAACTTGTCGATGTAGTTCTTAAATACGATCTCGTTACGCGAAAATCAGATTCTGTAAAGGGACTCACGGCCGTAACTAGATCCTTTCCCAATATTTGTGTATTTTTAGTGTAAAGGTATTGAAGCGTGTCCCGAACAACAATGTTTCGCTTATTTTCAACGCTTTACTCAATTGCAGGATTATCATTGGTGGTGGCGTTCCTTCCTGACTGGCGGATGTACTGCAGTGTATTTCTTTCTGTACTCGATTCATTTCTTTGTCACCAAACTGAACATCACAGGAACAACCTCTACCTTCCTGTACTTCGGCTACACACTGATCATGGTGTTGATCTTCTTCCTTTTCACTGGTAAGTACGTTATGGATCTTTGCCATTGTGATTGGTATTCTGTGCCGTTGAGATTGGTAACTTGTTCCAGGCTCCCGCCTGGCCGAAACTGAAGAAACTAGAGTTGCTCTCCACTGCGCCTCGTGCAACTCTTGCGCTTTGCACGTGCATCCATAGATTCCAAACAAATGGATCAACAACCCTTACGCTTCTTTCGAGATCTCCAAACTTCCCGCATGCATCCATAAATTCTAAACAAATAGATTCCATGTAACAGTGCGTCCGTTCAGTATTAGATCACAAAGGACGTCAAGATGTGGTATGAACAAAACGTGGCACACAGGGCGCAGCCAAGTGTGTCAATGATTTGCTAAACGCATTTTAACCTTATCTGTGATCCATCGCTTAACGAGGCAACATAGAATTTATTTGTTTTATATATGATGTAAGGCACCATATCGTCGATGGTGACGTCATCTACTTGTTTGTCCTCTAACAGATCAAAAGTATGAACCAGTGAAAACGTTTATGTTAGTCATATGAACCACGATACATGCACGCGTTTATGCCTTCCATTTAAATCTAAAATCGCTTCTTCCTTTTCCTAGGTACTGTGGGGTTTTTCGCCTGTTTCTTCTTTGTGAGAAAAATCTACAGCATCGTCGAGGTAGACGACAAGGTAGAAACCCAATGGAAACTTGCTATTTATGTATCGACAAAAGTATATTGGAAATTTTTTAACTTAAGCCAGCTACAAAAAGAAACTAATGGCGAAAGTTGGGCTGGGAAAAGTCACTTTTACGATCTTGGTGGTTCCGTTTAGTTGTAATTGTTACCTTCTTGTTCTTTTGTGTAGAAAAAAGTAACGAGCTCACAACACGAACCAAATATGTAAATAACAATGTATCACATTGAATAATTTCTTGGGGTTATTTGTCTGCCTGGCAATATGACATATTAGCGGAGCTCGCAGCACGCGCGCAAGTAAAACTGGTAGCAACCCATCAAGTTAAATTTCAGCTGGTAATTGTAATCATTTTGGTCGCTCATTCGTGAAGAGTACTCAAGAAAGATAACTCATCGTTCAGACTATTTTAACTCGTTTACAACCTCCGTGAGACACGGACACGAGACGAAGTTGTTGGAGCTTTAGTTATCAGAGCTGTAGTTATCAGTTTGCTTGAACCACACTTGCCAAGAACTTTGCTGAAAGAAAATTTCTTATTCACGACATCCATGGCTGCCCATGTTCTCATATTCATTTCTCAATCCGCATTTCACATATTTGATTTTTGCATATTCGTAGTCATGTATTACTAGTACTTCTCACCCTCATTAGAAGTGAACCTGCTAGAATTTCATTTCCCTGACAGTTCACCAGCACTCATTCATACCCCTAGATGGAAAAGTGCTGTGGGAGTAAAGTTTCTTGCCCAAGAACACAGCGTGGAGAGCCTAGCACTCGATCATACCTGTATCACTCTAGGACCAATCAATTAGTATTTTAATCATTGATTGGTGATTTACCTTCTCCTTCTTCCTTCTCAGGGTCTGGATGGAGAACTGGATGGAGAACTGGATGGAGAACCTGACACTCAGATAAAGCCTTGAACATGACATCCACTTGTTAAATGGAAAAATAAATTGGCGTATGTTATGAGTAATTCACCTTTTGGGCTTTAGATTTCACGTGATTTCACGTAGTGTCACGTGACTTTTGATGTAAACAAACCTCGAAAGTTCGGACATGGAGCCGAGCTCGCAGCACATGAGTTCAAACTTCGGCAGAAGAAAGTGAGGAAGCCTTGATTCCCAAAGATAAAACCGATTTCACCTCTATGAATGTGTATGATTGCAGTTGTTTAGTAAGTGTATATCTAAACATAATGGTTACGACAAAGAGATGTGCTTATGGCACATAAACGCTCTTATTTAAGTGGGCTGAAATAAGTTTATTTACGATTAGCATTGTACTGCATTTAGGAGTCGCTCCTAATTAAGAACGTTACCCGCTGTTTAATAAAATAGTTGAGTTCGTGGGATTTAGTGTTTTTCTGTCGGTTAAATTATACCGTAACACGTAAACAACAGAGAGTCAGACAAATGTTGTTGTCTGCCTTTAGTTAACAACATGGTGTAATAATTTTGCATGTAACAACTATTGAACATCCTCAACTTCAATCAATAAATTATTTTCCAAAAAAATTGAAGTAAACAATGGAGAGTCAGACAAATGTTGTTATTGTCTACCTTGACCCTTTAACTACCAGGAGTGATTAACCTGCAATTTCTCCCTATAACAGCTGCAGTAAGTATTTTACTTTAATTTATTCCAGCAATCCGTATATGGAAATGATCACGTGATTTATCATTTTGCGTAATTTATGTAACCCGATTCGCGGGAAAAGTAATGGTGTAAGTCGTGTAAAAATCAAAATGAACGAATTAACATGTGTTGCGTTCACTTAATGGCGCCCAACGTGGGGCGGAATCGCGATGACAAACAAAAGATCGAGATCAAATACGTTCAACACAGCAATGTAAGCAAAGCAAACATGTCAACTCAATAACACGTGGAATCATATCGAGCGATGGCACAGCCGGTGAGTCAAAATGTTGTTCGTACTAGATTACCGAAGTTATCCCTTCCGAAGTTTAGAGGAGATGTTACTAAATGGAACACGTTCTGGGACTCATTTCAGGTAGCGGTACATCGTAACGAAGGGATTTCTAACATTGATAAGTTTAATTATCTCAATTATGTTCTTGAGAGAGTGGCAGCTCGAGTAATCCCGGGTCTTACGTTAACCGAGGCA